TAATTTAATTGTGTACTTTAAATTTAGTCATTATAGTTTTCACGTGAATATACTGAGAAAAGCTCTACTAATTTCGAAGCACAGAGGGGTTCTTCCTCATATAATTAGAAATTATAAGTCCAGGTTTCCTCGCGATGTTTTCCTTCACCGTTTGTCAGTGGTGTCTAAATAATCTTAGAAAGTACATATAACTCGGAACAAGTCACATTGGTACTTGCCGTTGGTAGGTTTCGAGCCCGCACCCTCATGCATGAGAAGCGGGCGTCTTAAACCTCCGGGCCACCACGACATACCTATAATAGGGTAGATGCCTAATTTTTATTATAATGGTAGATTATTTTAAAACATTACACACGTATTTTTAATTTTCTTACAGAAACGAATACTTTCGACGATATATTGATTTGAAATGTCGCGTGACGTCACTTCTATGTACATTTTATACGTAGAAATGACGTTTTAGCCCTCACTCCTAAACTTTGATTCGTTATAATATCTAAGTATTGTATTATTATACGACAAAATAAAAAAATACGTGTCTAATATTTTTTGATTACCTAACTGACGGACTAATTAGATTTTTAATTCTCATACCCTGTCATCATCCCAATTATGGCTTACCTTCTCAATAGTATTGGCAATGTTATCATCGATTGGTCCAGAGTTCCCGATGCACGTCATACATCCATACCCGACTATGTTGAAGCCGAGCTTCTCGAGGTACGGTACGACGCCGGATTCCTGAAACAAAATCAATAACAATTCTATTACAAACTACGTTAAAAAAAACAAATTATAACCCCCTCTTTCGTTTGAAGTCGGTTAATTAATATACAAATGTGGGGGAGCCATGCTTCGACATGAACGGGCCGGCTCGATCGGAGTGATACCACGGCCTCACAGAAAAACGACGTGAAACAACGCTTGGGTTGTGTTTCATCGTGTGAGTGAGGTTACCAAAGGCCCAATAACCCCCCCTTCCCCTTTCCCCAATCCCTGAATCCTAAACGATCCTCAATTTTCTAATGCAGAAGGCCGGTAACGCGCTTGTAACGCCTCTGTTGTTGCGAATGTCCATGTGCGACGCCGATTGCTTACCATCAGGTGATCCGTCTGCTCGTTTACCGGCTTACGCCATAAAAAAGTTGGTGTATGCAAATAGGTTCACATTTATTACTTATGGTACGAGTGGGGCAGGTTCAATTCCCGTCTTTTTCTTTTTTTCAAGGGGGGAAAATCATCGAATTACTGCTCCCGTCTGGGTGAGGCGGGAGGGAGTGTCAGACTCTTACTGACTAAAAACCACCCCGTTCCTACTCCTGCACTTCGAGCCCGAGTCCCAGCAACCCGTTAGGCCTTCCGCGGCTCCGTATCGGGCATCAGCCCCAAATGGGCTGCCTGGACCGGAGTGATACCACGGCCTCACAGAAAACCGACGTGAAACAACGCTTGCTTTGTGTTTCGTCGTGTGAGTGAGGTTACCGGGGCCCCAAATACACCCCTCCCCTACCTCAATCCTCCCAATCCCTGAATCCCCAACAATCCTCAAATTCCTAATCCCCGAAAGGCTGGAAACGCCTTTTGGGGATAACGCAATTCCCGTCTAAGGTTCTTTTAGAGTCTAAAAGAACGTTACGTCTAAAATTTAGACAAATTTGACAACAGATAGGCTCATACCCTAAGATAATAGGTGACGACTCCAGATCCAGGTGACAGAGAGGTCTTGATATACGGGAGCACGCTGAGACCATTCTCCACAGCCTTCTTAGCTAGGAGACCTGGAAACATAAAGAAATATTAGGGACTAATGCCGGAATACTGAAACGTTACTCAATTTTAAGTCGTGCTTAAATATCATGCCATCTCTGTCATTTCACAAAGAATTTGTAGGGACAGAACTATACCTAAGCGCGACTCAAAATTGAGTAGCGTTTGAGTATTCCGACATAATTAGTTTTTAACATCTTCGCCCATGCGATGATAGGACAAATATAGGTCTGTCATTCTTCAGCTCCGTAACTATTACTGGATACTAAAATCCTATTACATAACATCACGCTTTTTATCCCCGTAGAGGTTTTTTTACCAACCCAGTAATACTTTGCGCGACCCTGGAATCGAACCCTAGACCCCTTGCCGGCAGTCGCACTTGCGACCACACAGCCCATGGGGCAGGCGTGAGGAAACCTGAGCTTATAATTTCTAATTATAAGTTTGAAATCACCAACCCGCATTAAGCAAGCGTGGTGATTAATGCTCAAACCTTCTCCGTGTGAGAAGAGGCTTTGCTCAGCAGTTGCATTTATAGGCTGTTGTTGCTTCTGGTGTTCCAAGTGTCCATTAGCGACAATGCAAAGCATCAAACACCAAGCGGTCACCGGTGACCGCAACCTATTGTTCTATAATTGTGTCTACAAAACCGGTACTCGACGAGTTAACCGCCTTATTTCATAAAAAAAAATGATACATGTAACGCGGGAATTCGATTTTGGTTTGTGTCGGAAGCACGCGCGCAACTCTAGTGGCAACATGGCCACCTCACCATTCCTCTGCCCCCGGTTCCCTGCCACTGACCGCTCGACGCTTGCGTATTGCATAGAGCAGAACAAAGAGCCCCGCGCCGGAGCTGTGCACGCGCTCCGTATTTGTACCGCGAATATTTGAGTTTTATCTTATTAATAGCTACTTCTGCGCGGTTTCACACGCTCTGCTCAGCTCCTATTGGTTGTAGCGTGATGTTTTATAGCTTATAGCCATCCTCGATAAATGCGCTATCCAACACAAAAAGAATTATTCAAATCAGACTTGTAGATACGGAGATTAGCGCGTTCAAACAAACAAACAAAAAACAAACTCTTCCGCTTTATACCTTAATATATATAAATCTCGTGTCACAATGTTTATCCTCAATAGACTCCTAAACCACTTAACCGATTACAATAAAATTCGCACAATGTGTAGTTCGATCCAACTTGACAGATAGGATAGTTTAAATCTCAAATTATAGTCGCAATTTTAATTTATTGCTAATTATTTGTCTGTTATTATTTGACAGTCACAATTATCTGTTAACTTCAAATGGTTCTAACAGATGTCGATACCTTTCGACTGGGTTGAGTAAGTAATCAATAGATGGCGCTGCTATAGGTTTTTTTTTAATAGAAGGAGTGATTCTTAAGGAAGGTTTATATGTATAATGCATGCATATTGCACCCGTGCGAAGCTGGGGCGGGTCGCTAGTAATAGTATTTTTTTTAAGGGGGGAAAATCATCGAATGACTGCTCCCGTCTGTGTGAGGCGAAAGGGAGTGTCAGACTCTTACTGACTAAAAACAACCCCGTTCCTTCGCCTGCACGTCGAGCCGGAGCCCCGGTTACCCGTTAGGTTCTCCACGACTGCTAGTAATAGTATAAGATTAATAATTTACTCACCAGCGCCCAACATTACGCTAGGGTTAGAAGTATTGGTGCAGGATGTGATGGCCGCTATGATGACGGAGCCGTGTGTGATGGAATAAGTCTTGCCATCGCTGTAGCTGAAGCTACCTGATGCTGAGAGGTTCGCTGGCGATAGCCCGTAACCTTTGAAGCCGACCTGGAAAGGTGGAGAGGAAATTTATAATACTTTTTTTATGGAATAGGGAGGTAAATAAGCAAACGGATCACCTAATGGTAAGCGATCAGCGCCACCAATGGACACACGTAACACAAAAGGAGTCACATGGCCGGCCTTTTAAACTGTCAAACACCGCGAGGACACCGGTGACCGCAACCTATTGTTCTATAATTGTGTCTATAATGACGGTACTCGACGAGTTAAAAAGAAATACGCTCTTTCCTTGAAGGTTTGAAGATCGTATAGGTTCGGAAATACCGCCGATAACAGATCATTCTATCTTTTTATAACATAGTAACATCACGCCTTTTATGTCCGAAGGGGTAGGCAGAGGTGCACATTATGCCACTGCACAATGTAACACCCACTTTTTACAATTTATGTTATGAGTCCCATGTAATAGGGGGTGAACCTATTGCCGGGCACAATTCCAGACTCCGTGCTACTACTGACTGAGATTTTTTTAAAAACTTAATAATACTTTGCCCGACCCGGGAATCGAATCCGAGACCCCATGCCCGGCTGTCGCACTTGCGACCACTTGGTCAACGCGGCAGTTTTTAAATTATCATCTTCACAAAATTCGTCATTCATATAAGAATGTTTTTTTTAAATATTTGTTTGTAATAATGCCCGGTATATGACAATAGCCTCACGACCTATTACATGGGACTCATAACATAAATAGTGAAAAGTGGGTGTTACATTGTACAGTGGTATAATGTGCACCTCTGCCTGTCTCTTCGGGGATAAAAGGCGTGATGTTATGTTATGTTAAATGCTCTGATTCCGATATGTCGAAACTAATAAACAATTGAGTACCGAATATAAATGAGTAATTTCGAAAAAATGTACATACAACCATTCTTTCGTAAAAAAAACCGACACTAACTCCCTCTGTGTTTTTGTAGTCGATTAATTAATATACTAAAACCCTCCTCCTAAGTGTAATATACACTTTATTGAAAACCACATCAAAATCGCATCAGCCAATCATGAGATATTCGCGCACAAACATACATACTACACATACAGGTAAAATTGAGAACCATTCTTTCTGAAGTCGGTTAATAAGTATAACAAGAAAAGCATTTTGGCAAAAATACTACTACTCTACCTACCCTAAGAACAGGAGACGCGTGACATTATCGAAAACACCGTGAGGAAACCTTTTGTTTTATAGCATAAGCCGGTAAACGAGCAGACGGATCACCTGATGGTAAGCAATCGGCGTCGCCCATGGACACCCAAAACACCAAGGCGTTACAAGTGCGTTACCGGGTTTTGGGAATTGGGAATTTGAGGATTGTGGAGGATTCGGGGTTTCGGGAGACTAGAGAGGGGGTGTCGGTTACAAGAAACAAAATGTTGGCAAAAATACGACTACTCTACCTACCCTAAGAACAGAGACGCGTGACAATACCAAAAACAATGGAACGCACGTGATTTTGCATCATAAACAATGCATATAAGTAAGAAATTGAATAAATTAGAACAGTTCCGCTTTGTAAGCTGATTTATACATAATTATTGTTGTTTGTGACCTTGCTGAGTCAGTTTATTCATTCACGTAGCTCGTAGCACGGTTTCGTTTACTTTTTAAATTATAATATTTACAAAATTCGTCATTCATATAAGAATGCTATTTTTTAAACAGTTGCCCCACTTTTTATAATAACTATCGTGAGAGCTACTAGATTAACTAAAAATCGCGGGGTACTCACGTAAATATACTGAGAAAAGCTTTACTGATTTCGAACCACAGCGCGGTCGCCGCGATGTATAGGCTGCGCGACATCGCTGCGACCGCGCACGCTGCTCATGAGGAAGAACCCCTCTGTGGTTCGAAACTAGTAGAGCTTTTCTCAGTATATTCACGTGGGTAACCCGCGATTTTTACTTAATTTAGTTGTCCCTCTCCAGGATTTTCTCCTGTGTCGTGGGTGCGTTTACAAACATACAAGTTCACATACACACGACACCCAGAGCCGGAACAACAATCTGTGGACTAGAGTTGTCCAGAATGACATGCTTCGTGCAGGAAAGAGTTGCCTAGCCATCGTGCAGTTAAGTATGTCCTATGCCGGGATAGAGGAAGACGAAGATACATACATAACATCACGCCTTTTATCCCCAAAGAGGTAGGCAGGGGTGCACATTACAGCACTTAATGCCACTGTATAATGTAACACCCACTTTTCACTATTTATGTTATAAGTCCCACGTAATAGGGGGTGAGTCTACCTCTATTGCGTACGTACGTATTACGTAGATAATATATATATAATATAACTTATTGTCGCCCATTTCTCATACATGAGAGAGCGGTTTCGAAACCTACCAATGGCAAGTACCAATGTGACTTTTACCGAGTTATAATATGTACTTTCTAAGATTATTCAGACACCACTGACAAACGGTACAAAGGAAAACATCGCGAGGAAACCTGGGCTTATAATTTCTAATCATAAATTTGAAATTGCTAACCCGTATTGAGGAAGCGTGGTGATTAATGCTCAAACCTTCTCCGTGTCCTTTGGTCACTTAGGTATAGGCTGTTGATGATGATAATAATGATAAAAGAGGTTACAGACAAGCAAACAATTTTACCGCATTTATAATAAGACAATATGAGTCAAGGAAGATTAAATGCTGAATAAGACATTCGTGTCATACATATTATTGCAGTTACGATTATAAAACAATTTTCGGACAACGAGATTATTAATTGTAGTGTTTGATTTGTTTCCCTTTTAACACAAATTATAATTATAGTTTATGATTGAGAGTACGCGTATTGACAAATGAGTGTCTATCTATATTATTTGCGACGTAATTTTCGAGTGTTTGGAAACATTCCGTGTTTTTTTAACGTTGAGACATTGGGATTTTCTCCTGTGTCGTGGGTGCGTTTACAAACATACAAGTTCACATACACATGACACCCAGACCCGGAACAACAATCTGTGGATCACACAAAGAGTTGTTCCGTGCGGGAATCGAAATCGCGCCAGCCACCGCGCCAACCGTGCAGTTGAAGATTAAAAGTATATCTATGGGTAAGTCATACATAACATAACATAACATCACGCCTTTTATCCCCGAAGGGGTAGGCAGAGGTGTACATTATGCCACTGTACAATGTAACACCCACTTTTCACTATTTATGTTATGAGTCCCATGTAATAGGGGGTGAGCCTATTGCCATATACCGGGCACAATTCCAGACTCCGTGCTACTACTGAGAAT